TTTTTTTTTTTTTTTGTTTGAGACAGGGTCTCTCACTCACTATGTAGCTCAGACTGACATAGGACTTGCTATGTTCACCAGGCTGGCTGCAAGCTCAGAGAGATCCATCCTCCTGCCTCTGCCTCTCAACCAAGCATTGGCATTAGAGGTGTGTGCCATACACCACCCTTTCTTACTTGAATGTGTGTTTATCTTTTCATCAGTCTCTGTTTCATTTGCCAGTGTCAACATGAGTTTATGATCTCAGCAAAGGTTCCATAAGCAAAGCCTCCTGGATGAGCCCTTCATCCCGGGTGAGGAGTCAGGAGCCTCTGGGAGGCAAGCCCCTTAGTCAAGCTATCCATTCCTTTCTATGAAGTCAGACGATGCATAGTTGGAACAGTTTTGAAATTAATTTGTGTCTTTTGAAGTAGGGTCTTACTATGTAGCTCAGGGTGGCCTTGAACAAGTGGCAATTCTTTTGCCTCTGCCTCCAGAGTGCTGAGATTACCAGCATGCCATTACCACAGCTAGGCCAGGTTTTTGAAGTTTAAAGGTCTCCCTGATTCGTATAAGGAGATTTGAAATGTTACTTTAATAGATCCCAAGGCAAAGGGAAAAATCTAGTACAGATAACACAGATTTAACACAGATTTCTAAGAGTGAACTGGAGGCTGTGGCTGTGGCTCAGGCACAGTGTGTTTGTTAGTGAGGCCCTGGGTTCAACCTATCACTACACAGAAACCTGAAATTGTTTCACAGCATGTTGTTTTGTGTTGGCTGCAATTAAAAGGCTCAGATACTTAGAATGAAACATGCATGTATCTAGAGGCAAAAAGGGAGTTTAGGCAAGCCTTTGTGCAGGTATACAGGAATCCCACCCAAATTTACAACGAAGGAGACAGATGTTAAGTGAAGGCAGGATACCAGAATCTTACACTGCTTTTAATTATTCCAGTAACATTTATTTATTTGCCTGTGTACAAATCATGGATCATGTGTGAAGGTCAGAATCTGAGTCTGGAGATTTGACTCATGCCTTGGGGCTTTCTCCATGAAGCCATCTCACTGATCTTTAGCCTGTTTTTATACTTATTCAAAACATTTATTTGTTTATTTATTTATTTTGGTTTTTCGAGACAGAGTTTCTCTGTGGTTTTGGAGGTTGTCCTGGAACTCGATTTGTAGACCAGGCTGGCCTCAAATTTACTGAGATCAGCCTGCCCCAGCCTCCCAAGTGCTGCAATTAAAGGCATCCACCACCACAACATGGCTCATGTGATTTTTTTTTTTTTTTCGAGAAAGGGGTTCTCTGTGTAGCTTTGGAGTCTATCCTGGCACTCATCCGAAGCCCTCTGCCTTCCGAGTGCTAGGATTAAAGGCATGCGCCACCAACGCTCGGCTAGCTCATGTGCTTTTAAGATCCATGTTATAACCATTGCTTTTTGTATTTTTCAAAACTATGCTTTTCCAGTTGAAGAAATGCGTTTAAACCTTACTCTCTGTCCTTTGCAGTTTGAAAGCCATTTTTTAAAGTGCAGATACTCCACTCCTGAAACACATTCGGTGTTCTGTGAGAAGCTCTAGGTGAAGGGTGTGGAGAGAACATGATTTTTTTTATTCAGCTCTTTCAGTGCACACCAGGCCTATTGTTGGCAAGAAAAAAACAAAATTCCAAGAATTTCAAAGGCTGCTCCTCACATGTCTAGCACATGATAGAGCCACCCTCTCCTGAATCTAATTACAAGTAGGTGAACAGAGCACTGAACACGAACTGAAAGAGTGCAGCCTCTAGCTAGCCTAGACAGCCCGACACCTCAAAAGAGTCCCGCTGGGCAGCAAATGCCATCAACATTGTTGCAGAGAGAACCCACAGCAGATACAGTTACTAACTGCTCACACCTCATTGGGGTGTTGCTCTATCTAGGGGTTCAATCTCATCATAACCTTGAGACCCGTGTCTCTATTTTACAGATCTGCAGAGAAGAAGCAAAGCCTGAGGTTCAGAAACTGCCTTTGACATTTCTACCCCAAAGTCTGGCTGTGGGATTTCACTTCCCTGGAGAAAAATTTTAGGCAATCCCGTTTGAAAAGCCAGCAGGTCATATTTTGGAATCTCTTCAGGAACAAAAATTTAAAATGAAAAGGGCAGTGTGACTAGGAGATGGGATGTCAGAAGGTGGACACCTGCTGTATGCTTACCTACAGCCCCCTGAAGAGGAAGCACCAGGCATGGAGGCAGGAGCCGCACTAGGCTCCCCACTTCCTCCCTGGGAAGGGGCAGGGCTCCTGCGAGGCCTTAGTCT